ACGGGATATTCCTTTCCCTTGCCCTTGTATTTGTGCCAAGCGACACGATTGAATCATGCATCCTCATAAAGAAGTAATCAAATCTACGTCAAGATACGGAATTTATTAAGGACTCCGTACAGGAACATCCGCTAGATTCGCAAGGCCGATGCTCAATAACGAACCAATTATAAACAACGCATATTTAATTGATAAACTACTGATGAGTCGTCAGTTGCTTATAACTCGCTTGAATTGTTTACCGATAATGCGACATCGCTGATATGAAATTCTAAGAAGAAAAAATGAACAACCTTAAAAAAAGTTCCTACCGTTGATTGCATCGCCATAGAACATCATTGGCTGACTAAAACAGGTCGTCCCTTTTACCTTCGAGGCCCATATCCTGTTACAATATCGGCTACGATTTTATGCATGCCTAAAATGCGTCGTAAATATTTCTCCAAAACGCCTTACTCAAAGCTAAGCAAGCCAAACGTTCCTAGAAAATAAAATGAAGTCGATGATGAGAACCCGAAATATTTCCCTGCATAAAATATATCATTCCCATTATGTTAATCCTGGCTGTTTTGGAACAAGTTTTAAAATTAGAATAGTAAAACGCATACATTGCTACAAAAAATTACGACCCAAAATAAAAAACCGAGACATACTCACGGCATAAAATATATCATCCCCTTAACATTATTCCATATTATCTTGAGAGTGAGATTAAAATAGTGGCGGGCGTAATTCGTATAAACTTTCCGAGGACGCTGTACTTTTATTTCTTCGCTAGTATTTCTTATGGAATTTCACCACAGGTGAATCGCATGTACAACGTGTAACACCACGAGGTACATGTACTTGGCTTGAAATAATGCAGAAATGTATTTAACTTGAAAGTCTACCAAGTTTCTTGATATACACACATAAATGCATTTGGCTTGAAACAACAACGCACAAATGTATTTGACTTGAAACTCTACCGAGTCTCTTGATACATTTACAGAATTTGTTTAAGCACTTTAATGGCTTTCTCGGCTACCTAACGATCATAGGATGTTAAATTTACTGCAATTTGATTGGCCAGTTCTTATCGTTATATTTATAGTTACTGTTACGCGAGTTATCTGTGGTAGCCTTTACTATCATAAAGGATGCAAGACCTAATTCCGTGGCCCTATTAACACCAATTATCACGAATCGTTTAATGCCACTGATTACTTCTAGTTACCTGCTAAATTTTCTGTATTCCATCAAGTACCTCTCTCGCGTGTAAATTGACTTAACAACTAATTGTCTGCAGCGGGACAACGAACCGAGGACTTATGCTAGCTCACTTGTTTACAAATGTCGAGTAATGCCGTTCAATAAGAGTTACGAGTAAGTTATATGCGTGTGAGTACTCGTTTGACTCGCGACTCATTTCCATGTGCGATTATATAGAGATCCTTTGTTATGTCTCGAATCGACATAAAAACGCGGTAACGTTTAGTTCCGGATGCTTGCTGTACGCACGTGCCTCGCATATTTCTACTCCACGTGTAATATCCGACGTACAAGTCATTACTTCCAAACCGAAAATATTTTTTTTATCATCCAACCATTTCACTTTGTCAACAAAAAACAAATGCAGCATCGTCCCGGATGCACGTAAAGCCAGTTTAAGGGTAAATCGAATTCTTCTCCAATGATGGCGATTATTTTACTTGAGTACTTCGATACCACGATAAAAATATTAACAATAGTTAATCATAGTCAAGGACAATGGAAAAATTGTAAGTGCTTTAATAATAAAAAGAGTAAACCTTCTTGCGAATTTTGTAACGATTTATACGACAGAGCGTTATCTTATTATTATTGTGTCTGGTCGAAGAACAAACTATCACTTATCAAAGTTTAAAGCAAATGATTACAGTTTTCGATAATTTTCTGATTTTTCCGGTATAATTTCTTTTCCGCTCGTTAATTGATACAAGTGACTCCACTTCTCCTGGTAATCTCAACAGTATGAAATAAAATGGAGATAATAAGGAAAAGCGTTTACCGAGTAGAAGATTCTCAATTGCGCCATTTAGAACGTCGATGTTCTCGGGGAAAAAAGAAATAATAATTTTCTCGTCACTTACTATGTACGTGTACGGAAGTCTTATCCGAGTCCTTGATTATGCTTTGATATGAACACAATCTCACGGCACATAAAGCCACTTGGTGACTCAGAAACTTTTATTTTAATGTTAGTATTTTTACATACAAGGTTCAAAGAAACGTCAAGGGTATCCCATGAGGTCGTAACCATTACGTATTATCTGATAACGGAATTGCATCGTTGTCACGAGTCTCCCATCAACTAAAGAAATTTGCGCCTGATACGGACATGACCAAAAACCGCAGCAATAAAAATATGACGAATATGCAATAAATTTGTATGCCAAATCCAGACAAGATTGACGTCTTCGAAGCTGCAATTGCAATGCAATTAAGCGTAAATGAGAGTCGGCACTTCGCAAATGGTTTTACGAAACGGTAGAAGTGCATGGGGAAGTACATGCATAGGGATTACGCCGGAGTTATGCAAATCCATTTGTAAGCAAACGTAATCCCCTTAACCGCCTTGTGCAACGAAAAGAAATCCGTGTTCCGACCAAACACTCGTGACTGAGGCCTTTCATTGATAATTGGTCTTAAAAACCATGCCCGAAGAGAGAGGGACAAAAATGCAATGACAACTACACCAGAGAGAGGAGAAGCAAAATCGCAGGTCGTCAACCCAACTCTATCATGTAAAGAATCGCGACTTGCATACCTTCGTAAGTACAGAGGCCCACTTTCTAACTCTTTCAGGCCTCGGTTAACATCTTGGCCCCACCTCGATTCGAGTGGACAATTCACAATCAATAAATACGACCTGCAACATTTTTCACAAATTTGCAAAATCTTTCGTAGTCGTCATTCGAAGTGACGGGACTACTATTTAAGGTGATCTAAAAGTGGCGTCGAAGAGATTTCGTTTATGAAACTTTTCTCCAAATTGGGTTTACCGAATCGTTTTCAACTTTACAACGTAGATATGGAGACTATAAGGAAGGTTCTGAAACTCATGAAATTTCAATTTTTTTATAAATTGTTTATAGACATTTTTTTAAATTCTCTATGAAAAATGAAATTTGATGAGCACCAAGACCTTCTTCATAGATTCACGTTGTAGAATTTGAAACGATTCGGTACACCCAGTTCAGCGAAAAGTTTCATGCACGATCGACCCCTCAGATACCACTTTCACATCCCCTTAACGTGATGAACTGTAATTGATAATTAAAAAGAACATTGAAAAAGCAATACTTATTGGATACTCGTATCGATATGTCGTATCACAAACACAAGTTTTAATATCGAATGTAAAGCATACTCGGATCGAAGGATGATTATGTGAGAATATTTATTAATTATCAATACGAAAAATCAAATTATACCAATGAAACATTGGTACATACATCTGTGGGGTAAATTAGGGCTAAGTGACTCCGAGTGCAATGAATTTAATATTTGCGAATCGGTGTGATAAGGGTTAAATACTTTTTGAAATTCGGTTAACCTTTTATACCTTCTTCAATTTTTACATCGATTACTGCCATCAGATTCAAATGGAGCCATTGTAATAAAATTTTAAGATGATAGCACCACCACAATTTGTTTATATAATTAATATTTAGGTAATTACAAAATAACAAAGAAGTATGAAAGAAGAAGTAAAAGAAATCAATTCTAGTCTAAATGGACCTAAAGGAGGCAAATTAATCGGAAATGTATTACATGGAATGTTGGTTAATGTCATTTTTGAAAATGTCCACATTTTTCTTTCTTTCCATTGTTACTATTTGATTTACATTCTTGTCAACGAAAGATCGGGTTTACGGAGTTGGGGTCACTGCAGTCCCAAGAAATGCACCTCACAATCTCTTGCTTCCGTGATCCATTGGTATTCTGCTGTGATTTATTGGCGATTACTTAACAGTTACTGTGCAATCGGTTACGCGTTTTATCGTCTTAGTGACTTCGTGGAGTGCAACATCTCCTGAAATGCTCTTAAACTACTGGAATTACGGACGACGGTGGCAGCACGGTTATTTAAGACATTTATGAACTATTCACAATTAATTTAAAAAATGCCTTACATTAGTGGAACGCTATTGAAACATACAAAAATAATATTACAAGACAGACGCAAAGTGTAAGAAGAGAATATAAAAGTTTTATTAAACACTCAATTTTGATCATTCCTGATCGTTTGACGAGACTCCTCAATAAATAATAATCCACACAAAGAAAAAAAAATCATCCCTCAACGTCATTTCTGAACGCCGCGCATGGACAAATTTGATTTGTCGTCATTGTTAGCTAGAAATGAAATACATACGTAAATTATCTTCTATGGTTCGGGAGTATTCAACCGACAGCAATAACTCACACCGGCTTTGCATATTTACATGCCATCCATATAAGTCGCCTATTTAATAAATGCTAAATGTTCGAGCTAGACCCTAAACAGTTTACGTCTGATTTAGAAGCCAGAATATGCCTTTTTAAATTCACATAATGCGACAGACAACTAATCGATAGAATAATTTATCATGAAAATCGCACTCCACGTGTGACTGAATAAACATGTGAACATTGTCATCACATCCACTAATTATGAGTTTTATACTTCCCGGCAAAGAGGTGATCACCGTTTGCACTGAAAACAAACAACTAGCCTATAAGTCATCAGAAACAATTGGCCTGTTAATGTAACATATGACAAGATAAATGATTCGATACGTACTGCTTTTATAACTTTATGACCAACATCTCTAAAACACGATTCACTGTGTTCTTTATTTTTAATCGTGCAGATTTATGGCCATTTATTAAGTGAAGTAAATTTGCACGGCAGGCAACCTCAACATAATCATTGATTATGAAATTGTTGTATGGAGATAGACACCAAATGTAAAGCATTTGCTATTTTTTTTCAGGCATTTTTATCCTGATGACCCTGGGTTTACTTGGTCTTGCATCTGGTTGCTTCGTCCTCGTGTTTCAACCTTACGACCTGCTGTTCAAGCTCAAGGTTGTCTTCAGCGAAGGTGGCGAGATCTTTGAACTGTGGCGAACTCCACCAGTTGATCTCTACCTGAAAGTCTACCTCTTCAACATTACCAATCACAAGGAATTCCTCGCTGGAGAGGAAGAGAAGCTGAAGTTTCAACAAGTCGGCCCCTACGTCTACAAGTAAGTCGACATTTAACGTAACATGTGATATGCAATGCAGCACGTTCCTTATTTTTTTCTTCATGTACAATTAACTTTGAAAATTTTCCTTAAAAACAATCCAGTTCTCATTTCCCTTCTCTATTTCATTTCATTGAATTCGTACGAAACAAACGTATTCTTCTCTCTCTGCTTGAAGAATATAAAAATGTACTTTAAATAATTTAATCTACAATAAAGATACATTTGGACTATTTTATATCGTACATGTATCCATCAATATTTGCGAACATTCAGAAACGGTACAACGTAAATGAGACTGGTTCCGATTTTTACGTGAATTTGAAATAAAATTTTCCTAACTGTACGGGAAAAAAGATAAAAAAATTCCACGTGGCTGAAGAAACATTAGCACACACTTCAGATATAGAATTTTATAAAAGAAATTTTATTCAGCAGTGAAATTAACCTTAACTATTTAATTGCAATATTTGCAAAAAAATACTGTACATGCAAACGAGTAAAAAAGTTCAATCGCACTTTAACAAGTTGTCGTCATAAAACAGTCACGACGTGTCATGAAGCGACTATCGAAATTCCTCAAGAACCATTCAGCAGCGTTTAGAGATTCCCGAGTTGTCACGTAAACGTCAGAAAATGTCAATGCTCACGTGGACCTACGTCGTCACACGGGATCACGTTTTTCAACGTCACCCAACGGCGAAATAATATCACGAAGAAATGTCGCGTGTTTTGTCGTACCGACTTTTCGAGTACACGAACCATCGGAAATTAATGCAATCAATTCAAATGACTCATATCTCGCTTGCTTGAACAATACTAACTCGCAATTGAATCCTCTTGTATGAAATATCGACTGTTATGATTACAAGTATTCACCGAAGACAAGAACGACTAAATAAAATATCCTAAACATTTAAAAAGTTCCTTAAACATCGAAATATCCTCTTAATACCCTAATTACACAGCGTTATTTATTTACCGACCTATCCGTCATTTATTATCCCATATAATAATAATAAGTACACGATATTCAACGTCGCAATGCGAGTGGATAAAATTGAATACGGTTATATATTAATATTTAAGATGTGAAAGTGGCATCTGAAAAGTCAATCGTTCATGAAACTTTTCTCCGAACTGGTCGCGCTGAATCGTTGCAACCTTTACAAAGTGAATGTGGAGGATATAAGGAGGGTCCTGACACTCATGAAATTTCATGAGTTTCAGGACCCTCCTTATACCCTCCATATTTGTATTGTAAAGTTTGAACCGCTTCAGTACACCCAGTTTAAAGAAAAGCTTCATAAACGAGACCTCTTTCGACGCCACTTTCACATCACCTTAATGTACAGATAACGATTAATGACATACGCATCTTCATCAAATGTTAAATAAAAAAAACTGCGATATTTAATGTAGAAATGTTGTATAATTATTACAGTATATAATCATATACCGTTATAAGTTTATTAGAATACCACACCGCGGTAAAATTTCTCCGGCAGCCATGACCAACCCCAACCGTTTCAGTTAACTCGGAACCAGTTCCATACCAGTGTGCTGTTTCTGAATGGTGTTCTGAATGGTCTGAAACCTCGCAATTCGGTACATTGTGTAACCGTACATTTACCTCGAAACATTCAGGGAGCTGATGGAACACTCGAACGTGACGTTCAACGACAACGGCACGGTGACGGCCATTCCTAAACATCCGTTGGTGTACGTACCTGAAATGAGTGCTGGAGCTGAAGAAGATTTACTCATCCTACCGAATATCGCTGTCTTGGTAAGTAAATCTACTTAAAAAAAAAAAAAAAAGAAATAGCAACAATCATGCCTCGCCTCACTTTGCCAGACGAGAGTCAGGCGCTGAGTCACTTTCGGTCAAAACGAAGCACAAGAACATCCGAACGTAAAAACGTGACGTGAATGTTGAACCTACGTTCTCTAAAAATGTTCCAAAACAATTTCCATTTACAAATTTGCATTCAACGAACAAAGGATGTATATTTAATTCGGCAACATAAATCAATCAATTTCAGATGCTAATTCCGGATAGAATTATGTACTTACCCCGACATTGTTTCTGATTTTCTTGTAACTTTATGCAACGAGCTTTTTATGGTCCTATTACTACATTGGTTTTTAAATTCTCACGGTATCTGACGAGATATTCCAATTACTATCCCATTATGCATCATTAAGCCTATTTTTAATTTTGCATATGCAAATAAGGATTAGGCCAGTACCCTTTTATCTACGTAGTCATATAATTTCAAGATGACTAAGAATAATACCGATTGCTCTGTATACACACACCAAAACTATTTATGAGTTGTCTCGATTAAGTCCGCGCACCTTTTAGTACATTAGTGACATCGCGCTAATTCGTTTCTGGATTGATATATGGCGCCTTTTTATTCTCGCAATTTGCTATTCTAACCCTTTCACGAGATGAAACCGAGGTTTCGTTTTCTTCACATGACCGGTAAAATTCCCACAAAACATTACGGTACCGTCGTTCCGGATTTACCCGAGATTCGCGGTAGTATTCCATTCCATACCCGTTTCGAGCTATTTCAGGTTTTTTAAACACGGAAGAGGAATGGATTAGTACCTCGGAGGAATAGGTTAGCGACATATCAGAATATCTAAAAATAATACCGAACACCCAATAACTTTTACACGATAACCATAATCACGTCTCATTTCATCATAAATTAGCCTCGTGAATTAATTCCCACATCATCGACATCGACATCGCGGATTCCTTTCCCAATTGTTGCATAGGTCATTTTTTAACAAATGGAAGCGAACATTAGAAACCGATCTAAATGTGTCAAAACTATCGGAATTTTTCGTGATTTTTTTTTCAACATTTTCTTTCTTTTTTTTCTAATGATTCGTGTGACACGAATCGAGACTCGTTTCCCCGGACCAACCGATAAAATCCCTGAAAGCCATAATGGCACATTGAAATCTCCAGATTTACCTCGGATTCACGGTAATGTTCCATTCCCTACGAATTTTGGAACCATTTCAGACTTTATTATAAATACAAAAAGGAGTAGGTTAATACCTATCCAACGACATACCGTACAGATTGGCCGCTGAGAATAAAACTGGCCTCTAGAATACAATATTGGTGAATCACCTCGATTAGCCGAGAGTCCTTTATCATATTTTTGCCATTGTGCCGATTCTGTCGTGGCAGCCAATAGTTGGTGACCTAAACGATCGATCTAACATCAGGCAGGAGTCATACTTGAAAACTAACGATGTCACGCAATGCCAAACTCGAATGCCAATATACACTGGCTGCACGATATTCGCAAAAGAGACATTTATGTCCAGCAGTGTGTAACGAAAAGAATACTCGTCTCGTGTCAAATTGGATTTGGCACGAAACTCGATCAAATTTCTACATATACCCTGCTCAAGAAAAGAATCAGTGCGGGGCCGCCACACATTGTAAATAATACTTTTAAGTTAAAGAGAATAATTATTAATTATTATTAAATATTCTTTCACATGTGTCGGATACTAATCGGTTTGATCATAATAACACCAACACACAGATATGTATAAAATAGTAATTAATTGTAATTAACTATTTTCGGTAGGATCTCCTTTCATGACACGCAAACTCATACGTACTGCCGTACCACAAGAAGGTTCATTTCAAAATCGCAACCGCTAAAAATAAAATGCATTAAAATCCGAGACCAATATATGCAGAGTGTTCCAAATAATGTATACACACTTCCAATGATTTTGAGGGAAATTGTGTACACATTTTTTGGGATACCCTATATATTATTTAGGATATTGAAGAGAGACAGTTTATCTATTTTGGTTCAAAAGGTACTTGTAATCACCGAGATATTACCACAGTCTCCTTTCGTCACACTAAACGTCATGTGTGGTTATCAGATATGCAAGCTTTGATGTTAAGTGTTGTAATTTTTTTTTTCGCGACTACCTAGGCATATCATAGTACTACTACATCTATAGTGCAATTCCACCTTGATAAGGTCGTACTCAAGGATCGTAGGTCATTGGCGGGATCAATTTGAACTTGCAGACCTTGATGCGACCTACCGGGTACTGCTTTTTACCGACGCACTTATGTAGCGATATGTGCGTTATGCATGTATGTGCGAGCAACTCGGTGTATAAGTAATGCAGGAAAAATCACCGGACCACTCAGCGATCGCGTCCACCTCTGATGGTGGTTTTTGATACAGAAGAGTGGAAGAGCCGGTTATTATGACGCGCATATACGTACATTTCATGACAGGACTCGAGTTACCTCAAGTTCTCGTAACCTTGCCCAGCTCGAAATATGAGTAAACTGCCATTTACTCGTTGGGACATGTTTATTTGCATGAATCACCGCACTTTTACATTAAACTTATCCGTTGTAAATGAAACCTCGCATTCAAAAATCTAATTGACGTTGAATGACATTGCGCAGCCAAATTTCTCATATTAGATTGTCCATGATCAACAATAAACAAACGTAGGAATAACATTGTACCAACTTTTGTCCGCGCTTTTTTAATTAACATTACCCGTTACAAAAGATACTTGACGAAGGCCTTTAAAATATAAGTTGCATGACGTCGAAATCAACGTTTCCTACTTATCATTTACGTGCCGAAATAAATCGTGTCAAAGCAGTACTCGGTACGATGTACACAAAGGTGATAATTGAAAAAGTATAACATCTTGTTTTCGCTTCGTCGAATGTTTTTTCGAATGCTTTTCGAGTGACGCCTCTTGATATTCTGCTTGCGTGCTTTCGTCCTCTTATATGCAAAGGCGTTGGCTGATTCGATGGGCCCAAAAAAGCGCGGAGGAAAGTAGCACGTGATTTTTTAGCCACATAGCGTTTGCGTTCTCTCTTTCGAGAGGGTACTTTCTGGTATAAGAACTGGAGGAACAGGTTATCGAGCTTTTCTAGAATCTTTCATGGCGCGATTCGCGTTCTCCGAGGTTGATTCCATAACCTTGCCAAGGTTGGATCATGCGTGAATCGCCTCTTGCTCGGTACTCTTCCTTAATTATTGTCCTCTTTGCTTTCGGCCTTTCCAGGTGGTTCTTCATGCAAGATGCAGATCCTTAACTATGGTAAAATTCAGGATCTCGAGGGAAAAAAAAAGAAAAAAAAAATTAGAAACGTACGAAATGTGATTTTAAATTGTACGCAGCAGCGAGGAGGAGAGGAATTACTCATCCTGTACTTTCCGAGCTTTTAAAGGACGTTTCCTGTCAGAAAATGAATAAAGACTTAAAAGTCGCGGGTTCTCTGCCAGCATACATTCGTAAATCCTCCTTAAACGCGTATCCTTCGTCACTTTTTGTGATTAACGAGTTTTCGAGAAGCTCGCATGTCGCTGCACTTCCGGAAGGTTGAAGGTCCTCTTCGGGTGGAACTGGATAACGTGACGCGCATAAAACGTTCTTGCTCCTGCTCCACGTATTACAGACATAACCTTCTGAAGGTTACAGTCCAAGAACACGGTCACTTACCCGAGATAAGAATATTTTCCCAAGAACCTGTATGGAACCGAGCCTGAGGGCTCCAAGATACATGGAGGTAATCCAGTAATTTTGATCCGGTAATAACCAAGAGTACATTCGATACCTTACGGGCTTTACATAATTACATTACAAAATTCTACATTTATCCCTGGGAAGTAGAAAAATGCATAACTCAGAATATCAATTGTGCAAAATACCCGTATTTATCACATTGTCTAACACATACAGGTTGTCCATAACTCGCAATAATCCCTAAAACTGGTGAAAGTTGATGAAACTAAGATTTTTTTATCAAGTGATTATTTACCGAATTATAAACGATTAAAGTTCACCGCACTCGGTGGAAGTTGAAGAAATTTGAAGTCAAAACTTCCTTCAGGTGGTTAATTATCGAATTATTAACGATTAAAATTCGCCAATCTTGGGCGCGAGATTCAAACGGGTCCCAATTTGCGGGTAACCCTCTTACCTCGACACTCATTTTTTATTTTACTTTGTTTATTCTCAGTTCATTATTATATCAGTTATTTACAAAATAATGACAATAGTTCCGCACCCAAGATTGGCCAACTTAAATCTTTAATAACCCGTTAAATAATCTCCTGAGGAAGAAGTCACCAGAGGAAGCGCCGACTTCAAATTTTGTCAACTTCCACCAGTTTTAGGGATACTGCGAATTGTGGGAGATCTTGTATCTAAAACTCTAATAGTGTATAACTGTGTACACGTTTCTGCGAGAATCAAAAACGTCAAAACCCAGCTTTTTAGTAAAATTCTACCGACACGTGAATACTGCCCGTACCGTTTTTATCTCATTTTTTAAATTAAATTAAGCATTTCGTTTTATTTATAAAGCTAAGGGGTATTCAGCAGTTTTGCAAGCTTACAGGCGAAAGGAGAGTGACCACTGATAACGAAAGTGACCATAAACTTGCTGCAAATTGCGGAATTAATTTAACACGCATTTGAAGTCGTTCACTGGTCTCCTCGGGATGAATTTTGGCCATTCTTTTTTTTTTCCGTGGAAAGGAGATAGCTACTCCGACTTGTACATATATTTCAGGATGCATCTCCCAGTGTCACACTCGTAGTTGCGAAGGTCAGGGTCCGAGCAAGCGGGCATTACCCCTTTGAAAGTGACGCTCAAAAAACAGACAATAATTTAAAAAAGAAATCTCCTACATCTTGAAATTCAAAAAACTAATTACGGCAATTAAGAATATTTTATACAAAGAATTA